GTGTCGAGTTGGCTGACTTAGGCTCAAGGTGGGTGTTTGTTTGTTTTTTTTTAGTTTTGGTTTGGCGATTGGCTGTCTGCATTCTCGGAACGGTAGTTAAGCTATGGCAGGAATAATCGAAGAGTTTGACAACATTTGAATATCGTTTTGTTGCCTAAATTGAGTTTCGCAAAATCTGCAAAATCACGAAGTTGAACCCATCTGTCAGGCACTTGGTAATTGAGCCCAGTGAAAACGGTGAAAACTTTTGCATAATGAGAACCTCTGCCCTGTCGATGCTACTCCCATTTGTATGAATTATGAAAGTTCGATTCTGAAAATATGTACAGGCAGCAGTCGCGAATCAAACCATAAATCTTACGCAAATAGCACTCAAAAAGCAATAAGACTATTTCAACGCCATTGTGTGCTAAACAGATTTCAAAAAGGCGATACAAATTCGAGCCATTCGAGAGCCAAGGACAATGCGTTTGGTTTGTTTATTTCCAGGCACCCAGCCTCCTAAATCGCCTCCGTTATTGGTAGCTATTGGTGCTACCAATACCATTTCCATGACAATACCCCGAAGCTGGACCTGGGCTAATCTATGAGCCAAGATCACAGGCTGTTGGCCGTAAGATGCTGCAAGATGTTCCGTTTTGTCCAGTTTTTGCTGAATCAATTTGTTAGAGAAACAATGACCCCAAATGGGACAAAAGACCGAAGAACCTGGAACTGAGAGGCGTGTGACATTAGCAGACAGTTTTGCGGGACGTTGAGGGTTGATTATGTTTCTTTTTTTTTTTTTGCTTTATTCTTGGCCCAAATGGACTGCCAACTGAGCGGATAATCGGATTGTCCAGGCTGGCGTTGGCCGGTCAAAACGTAATTTGTGGGTTTTTAGGCCAAATCCAGCTGCCGAAAGTTGCCAGTATGCAAAAAAGAATTTGCGGCGGCGACAACTTCTTCTCGTGCCAAGATGCAACCAACTCAAGCGAAATGCCAGCGGGTGGCTTATCGCATATCGTTTATCGCTTATCGCCATAATTTTCACTCAACACTCAAGAAAGTTCAAGGAATTCCAAGGATGAGGAAGCACTTCTGAGTCTGGGGACACTGTCGAGGCAGAAGTGTCACACACCAGCAACATGCAACGTCATCGTTGTCGCGAGCCATTCGAGATGCATCGGAGGCATCTCAGCATCGGCAGCTGACCCAACATGCAAAGGAGATAATCACGAGCCGAAACAGCCGGCAACGGCAACTGTGCCACACTTATCTGATCTGCAGCATCAATAAGTCGTACCTCTAGATGACCAATATACTGTGGCTGAGCCGAAGGAAAGAAAACCTCAAGGAGGTTGGAAAAAAAGAAGCCAAAATGTTATCAGGAAAGGTCTGGTTTCCCCTGCCATTTTCTCATTCACTCAAACTTGGACTTCAACTTTGTACATTTGCAAGTGCCACCATCAATTAAAACTAATAGAACAATTAATGTACAACAACAAACACAAACCGCAAAGTGCAGCCACAAAGCGAGAACTTAGAAGGAGACAACGAAGTCGATGTCGAAGATGAATATGGAAGTTTTTTAAGACAGTCGAATGTGGAATGCTCTTTTAGGAATATTACAAAATTTGAAATATTAAAATAGAGAAATATATTTTCAGGAAAGAAAGAAAAACAGGTCAAGTTGGTTTGTATAGTGAATTAAATAATATCGACGAGATGAAAACTTAATTTTAACAGTAGGTAAGTCTACGGTTTTGCTAAGCTCATCAGTAATACAAATTATTCTTTAAAAAATGGATATCACCTCGAGGAGCATATAAGGAAATAATATAATATCAAAGCTCAATTACATTGATGATTTTCCATTATAAATAAAATATTATTTAAAATTATAAACATCGCATGAATGAATATTCTCTCGTTTAAAGAGTATGACAGGCGCATGCGGAACTGACTTTCAAAGAATCTAAATAAGAGTTTTGTTCTGCGTCTTCATCATCAGCATAATGATCTTTATGATCATTATTGTCTTTAACAATTAAGCCAGATGAATAAATAAGTGAATGAATGGGTGAATGCATGGGCTGCCAGTTCATAATTTCTCAACTCTAATTCCCAAGAAATTAGAAAAAAAAGGGTGCGGGTGGCTTTGCACCACTCACTAAATACAAAAAAAAAAGAAAAACGAAGAAGATCGCGGAGGCGAGATTGAACTGGGGGCGTGGCTCGGTCAGACCACGCCCATCTCCGTGGCAGGCAAAAGTGCACAAACAGTTAAATGCGATCGTCTGCTCCGCGTAATTGCAGTCAAAGAAACATGCAATTTAACTCCGCTGGAAACAATTGAATCTATGAATTATGAAATATTTTAAGTCAAGCAAAATGCCACAGTCAAGTGGGGGGCAGCCACCACCCCGCCGTTCGTCATCTCGTGGCTAATTAACTAAGTGCCACGCACCTTGAAGTCTCAGCTGAAAAGCTGAGAGCAAAAACCCATTTTTAGCTTCATGCATTTTTAATTCCCCTAATAGCTTTTGGCTTCTAGCTTCTAGACCCGGCCAGACATTGATGGACCAGCACAACCAGATGAGCAAACACCAAAAATTAAAACACCAAAAATGCCCTGGCTCTGCCGCAGCTGCTGGCCAGATGCAGATTAATTCCTGGCCTCCCCAACAAAAAATAAAGAGTCGCCCAAAAAAGTTGTCCTTACCTGGTCGCTTCTGCGGTTGAACTAAGCCAACTAAGCGCAATGTGTCCTCCATCAAAATTAATTACCAACAGGAGCGGGAGGCAGCCAAGCAGCAAGGCCAATTGTCAGTGGGGCTGAGCTCAAAAGTTAAAAGGGGGCGAAGGCGATTCACCACCACCCACTCCCTTCTGGGACTCATCAGTCAACACTTGCTCAACAGTCTAAAATGATAAATTACCATCCCCTTGGTCAAAATCACTTGGCTCTTCGTGAAATTTCTTGTTGAGTCAGCAAAGTGTTGCATACTTTCGGGTGCTGCTTGATTACAGCCAATTTGGTTTGAGGAAGTCAGAGTCTTAAATGGATTGGGTAGAAAGAAAGTCTATAGAAAAATCATAAAAAATAATTTCTCATTTAAGAAACTGTACAAAATATTATTTTATTTTATATACACTTTCATATGTATAATATCAATACACCTTTCACTTTCGGAATGTGAATATCTCGCTTAATAAATTCACATTCAGCCAGACAATACAAGGATAATGCGACTGCAGCCTGTCAATCATAAAAGAAGCATCATTCACTGACTGGAGCTTATGTGTGATTTATTGGCTAACACTGGCTGCATGGCCTCTGCCCACATGTTAAGGCCAAATTAATTAACAACAAGCCAGAATTGCATTGTCTGTTGCTGCGCGGTGGCTGGCGATGTTGGTTTTTAATTAAGGAGTTGAATGAAAAATCAAAATTAAAGTGATTGTTGCCAAAGATAAATGCTCAGAGAAGAAAAATGCGAGTGCTTTAATTATAAACAAATACGAGGGCAATGAAGCCGCCAAGCTAGCATAAACAAATAATTAAAAGTCGACAAAGTTGTGTCACTGGAGGGTCGATTTTTATTCAAAAACATTTGTGTCAATATTTACCCTCGACACAAGCATGTCAACTGATAGTCTAAGCTGGTGCTTCCTTGCCAAGTCCTTGAGCACATTGCGCCACTCTTGTTTCCAGTGTTTACCCAAACCACAAAGCTTTTTCCTTTTTGGGTGAGGTGGTGGTGAAGGAGCATTGTCAGTGTCCTGTCAGCGATAATGTCACACATGATTGCTCCTGGGTGGGTTTTTGGCCTTGGTCTGTGTGAGTTTCTAATTAAAAATGTAAAACATTTGCTTTTATGAACGGGTCGGTTGGCGGTATCTAAATTGAATATACACATTCGTGGGTGACATTTCCCTTTTGGCTTTTGCACTTTGAGGGGGTTAACAAGGTCTTGAATCAGTGGCAAGCTTATAGAGAATTCACCGCATACCCTAGTAAGGGAAAAAAATAAATGCCTCCTGTGAGGATTGAACTCACGACCCCTGGTTTACAAGACCAGTGCTCTGCCACTGAGCTAAAGAGGCTCACCTGAAGTACCATGAAAATTAAAGAAATATCAGTTCAAATTTCATGTAAGAAATATTCTTCTGAAGTCATCTTATCATACAGTTCATTCATAGCATGAACTGATGTTCAGATAGCAGTTTTATCAAGATATGTTCAGAAAACCGACTACTATTGATTCGAAAATCATCTAAATGTAATTGCTTTTTAAGATGGGTATACATCTGAATGCAGTTTATCAAAATCCATTTGTTAATTAAGAAAGTTACTGCTTAGACAACAAAATGTACTTTTTCACACCTTCTATTAACATTTCATTTTCAAATATTTTTTCCCAATTCAACCATAAACTTCAATTTAAAGCGTTGGAAAAAAAGGTTAGGAAAAACAAAACTGGTTTTGCATCGCTTAATCCTTCCAGACGAATGCGTTGAAATTATTTATTATGACGCAAAACTTTTTTCCGGCCGCAGAGCAACGCGTTGGCTTTATCTCCTGTCCAAAAGAGCCAAAGGGTCTCGACTGGCATCCGCCAAAAACGATACTCCACAAGCCCAACCGCCCGCTGGACGGGAAATCAAAAAACAAAAGTGGAACTTTTCCCCAGTTAAGCCTCGATAAAGAGCTTTAAAAGGTGTGCAGCGCCAAGAGCAGGACAATTTGGTTAATCCGAATGTTCAGTTAGCGCAACTTCAAAGGACTCGAAATCCGTTCATGTGGCAAAATCGAATAAAATGGGTAATTTTGCGGGATAATTCCTTAAAGAGAATGGTGAAAGAGGATTAATTTCGAAACGAAAGAAGGTCAGCTTCACCATTTGGGATTTAAATTTAATTGAAAAGAAAGTTGTGAAGGAAGGGAAGAAAGCTGTGTTGATAGATTTTATTGGGCAACCATGCTTTTAATCGATAGGAAAATATATATTAAATAGCTCTCCAACACTAGACCAAAACCAATTCGATTAAAGTAAGCGATTTCCCTTTGACATTTAGAGAGAGAACTTCAAGAAGGTCATTCAGAATTATAGCAGACTAATTTAACTGTAGAACTAAACCAGAAAATGCCAATAGACCAAGTTTTCATCTCCTATTTGCGCAACAGCAACTGGATCAATGTCCTCCTGCTCAGATCGATGAACCTATTCAGGCCTGTACTCGTCGGGTCACCCAAGGAACTGTTAGAGGTGACTCCCAATGGAATCGTTTGGATCGAAAATAACTTGGAGTACCGCATCATGTTGAATGAATACTTCGATATTACCACCAAGACCGAAGACGGTCTCATTCCATTTTCCCATGCTGAAATCCTGGGCAATAATTTGGCTTTTGGCCTCGGCCTGCGGAGGATTAGACATCCGGCTTTGAATCATCACACCATTGAGGTGGAGCAAACGGATCTCCCCCTGAATATCAACACCTATACGGTGTGTTCCATGCACTGCTGCAACTGTGCAAATGAAATCATTGAACCGCGCCAGTATCATCAGATCCAGGAGATCCCAAGGACGACAATGAAGCCGCAAAACTACTTCTGTGCCCGCAACAGAGTGCCAGTGTATCCGATGGACGATGAGCTCTACTACGGCCTTAACTACCTGGTGATCTCCACCGAAATTCTGGGCAACGGAATCAAAACCATGCGTGGTCGTCGTCGCATCATGTGCTCTCTATGCAAGCAGTTCGTTGGTGAATTTTTGGGCAGGGATGTGGCCGTGCAGTTGTATGCGGATGCCCTGCGATTGGTGACCGAGGATAAGCCAGTCAACTTCAAGGATATCTTTGGCCACGTTACAGCAACTCAAATATTGTTGCGCCTGCTGCACGACGCCGACCCCAATGGCCCGGAGAAGTCTCGCCTTTTCCTAAAGGCAATTCGCCCAGATGGTCAACTGCAGTATCTACACTTGCATATAGACACCAACCAGGTGCATATCCTACGCTCCGAATTGGACACTTCCGAAGACCTGAAGCCTGTTGAAGAGTTGGCTATCGAGGCCGATACCAGCAGCGACAGTGATTTCGAAATCATTCTCAGCGATAGTAGCACCAGCAGCAGCAATAGCACCAAATCAAAGGTGGCAGACGTAGAAACTGCTGAGCCAACAGTGCAGTATATACACCTACGGGGCTTTCGTGGCTACCGTTTAAGGTATATATTCTCTGAAAATGATCAAGAACTGAACCAAAATTACGAGATAACCAGGACATGGTTTGATGAGGGATCACGCATACTGCGTATCTCATATCTAATGATGTCGGAGCTGATCACCGAGCTCAAAGCCAATGAGCACGTAGCTGCTTTTCTGGAGAAAACTCTGCCACCTCAGAAATCTGAACATCCCCGTCTCAGCTACATACTCTTCGAGCCCGACGAGGACTTCTATGCCAGGCACGAACAAATCGCAAATCCTGGAAATTAGGGATCATCTACATTTCAAGCTCTCTCTTTCTCTGTTATATGAAAAGGATAAATAATTTAACTCGATTTAAATCTTTATAATATCAAAAAGGATAACCTTTTCAGAAACTGTAATTACTTTCTTTGTACTCCATAAAATGTATCCCCAAAGTGCACATTAACCCTTTCTTCCTACTTTGCTTTTTTTCTCCATAATATTTTTACAAGTTCCTTAACTTTTGCTGTAAGATTCACGGCATATTTTCTTAATTGTCTTATTGTTGGTAATTAGTACAGATTTAATTGCGGAAACCCTTATAAATTTCGTAGACAACCGATGCGGTTTATGGTTCTACCATCCCCTCGTTTTTGCGAAGGAGACTGACCACATCATTAATCGTTGGCTGGTTAACGAAAAACAATTTGTCCAAATAACAATTAAGGCCAGGCCAACAGCAAACAACAAGTAAAGCACCCTCAGGCAAGGACACTCCAACGCCCACCCATCCGGAGGAGGAGGAGGAGGAATCAGGATCGGATCGGAATTCGGGGAATCGTTAACAGCATTTGACGGCTGACAGTTGTCTAATGAAAATCCGAGGGAGTGAAAGTGTCCAAGGATGTGACGCAACTTGATTAATGATTGCCTAGATTTCAACTTTCATTTTACCAGTTTAAATTTCTCTTTAATTCGGGTGTGTTTTCATCCCAACCAAAATCCATTCATTATATATGCATTCCTCGTCCATTATCCTATATGCACTTTGTTGCATTGTTCAAAATGGGTTTTCAGCTGTATTTTCTCTTGTTTTTTTGGCTGACACAACAATGAGTTTCAGTTTTCGGATAGAAAAGAATCCCATGGCAGGTGGATAGAAATGCCTAATGGTCTGGGCCCCATTGTTGGGCAGGCTTTTTGTGGTTTTGTCGTTATACATAATATGCGAGTGCATACCAATCCTCTCCCCAGAAACCTTTCTAAATTAAGAAAGTGCATAGAGGTTATCGCTGCTCTCGTTTAAGGGCGCAACATCCAGCAATTGCCAATAATTAACATAATGAAACCAGAAATTGCGCTAGTTGAAGAAAGTCCAATGACACAGCTCTATAATTGCCTGTGGGGTGGCATTTCTAGAGAAAGCATGCGAAATTAATATTAAGGCAACGCCTCATAAATTAATTTTGAAATGCACTTGAAGCCTCTAACAGATATCTCCCTTGTAAAAGATATCTATATATAGTAAGTACTTTGTGGGGGGAGAGTGAAAGTGTCCCCCTAGAAAGCCTGTCCATATGGCCGGACCTGGATGCTTTTTCACTCTGTCCACTTATTAATTACCAAGATGTATGCGTGTCGCGCACCACAGACCAATTAACCCCCATTATGGTCAGCTGAGGGACAGCTCTTAACACACCACACTCGTCCTGGACGGGGTCAAGTTCTGGTCCAAATAGCGAGAGGGGGGCCAATAATTAAGATTTCCAAGAGCAAGAACAACCAGCACACACACACACATCCGTGGCGAAACGCAAAACAAACTCATTCCGGAGGGGCCAAATTGCTTTATGATGTTGCAGATTATGATAATGAATGATGCCATCTGGACTTGCACTTGGTACATTGACCAGGGCTATGTTGACACTTTAAGTGATTTAATGTTATTGTTTTTTCGCACCCTTAAACGAGGGCATGCTACATAAACGATGGGAAATTTTTACATTAAAAGCATGTTTATTCTTTTGGATAGAATTGGTCAGAACCTAAGTATAAACTTTAGAAAAACTAAACAAATAAAACTTTAAATAAACTAAAATTATAAAAACTTTTTCATTTTTCAATGGAAAAGTTTCATTTAAAATTCTTTTTTTGGCAACATCTCTTTGGCTTATCATTTTTGGGCATCGCTTTTTATATACATTTCTGTACATTTTCGCCAGTTTATTGACACAATTGCCAACAAATAAATCCCCAGCTCCAGGCCAACGAGAATGCTGATTGCACATCTCTGTTTCCCAGTCCAACTCCCACTCTTCACCCGATTTCCTCCATCCACTGCTAACTGGGAGTGTGAACTGCCATTGAAATGTTTTTGATTGGAAAAAATTTAATTTCCTATACGCTTCACTCTGCTTATCGCGGTTGCATTGTGTTCCAAATTCGATCGAAAAGCGAAGTTGGCAATCTACTTTTTTTGCCCAGCTAAATTTTAAATTTAAATCAAGTGTTGGCCCAGCGGATATCTAAACTGTTTTCTCTCACCGCATATGTTGTACACAAAACCTCAAACCACAATTAATCAAGGCAAACGCTCTTGACAGCAATAGCTAAAAAAATCATTGACACTTTTCATTTTTCTAGTCTTTTGGTAAAAAGTTTCACACTGGCAGTGCCAATGCCTCAATTACGATTTTTCGATTTGTTGGGCGGCAAAGAGGATTCCCAGTGCCAATGAACGTTCATTAAACGTTCTCCTTATGGCCAAACCGAGCTATCTTTTTTCCTATTTTGGTTAGCAGCATTCAAACACATTCGTTTCACTCGTTCGCCGTCATCGGTCCTTTGTCCCAGGAACAATGGCGGAACCGCACAGAGAGAGAGCCGGCGCAGTAGAGTGAAATTCATTTTTTCCATTAAATCGAGTCGTTGATTGTGCATGAAGTGAGGAGGCCCAAATGTCAGGGCTCTTCGGTTAGATGGGGGCGCTACGATACTTGGATAGGTTGCCACTGTCGTCGAATACGGCGCAGTCGAGTCAGCGGCGGAGCGCCACCTTCGCCCTGGGTGAATAACATCCACATCCGACGAGTCCCATGGGAACTGGTTGGCCAGAATCAGGAAGTTGAATGCTCTTAATATTGGTTAGCTTTGGTTTCTTTTCTTAAGGAAAAATGAGTAAAAACATCTGAAAAACTATAAATTGTGAATTTGTGTTAAATCTGAAATTGTCAAGAGAAAAATTCAGATTAAAAAAAGTTAAATATTTTTATAAACAAAAATGTACATATCCTCAATACACTCTGCGCAATCTATTAAGATATATCTACCTCTGATCGTAGGCTTATTTCTATTCGTTAAATTTTCCCATAAACTTGGCCAATTGGGCGAAACTACAAACATCTTGAAATTGTAATAAAGGTGTTTTCACTTTAAAAAGAAACTTTTCCCATTGCCATTTTTAAACACAATTTTCAGCAATAGGTTCTAATTTCTTTTTTAAAGATTGATTTTAAAATTTAAACTTAAAAGAACTTCATATTAAATAGCACATATAATGCCCACAGAGTATTTCCAATTCGTGCTCATCTTCGACCTTCCATTTGGAAAAAGTTTTCCACTCGAAATTCGATACACTTGCAAATGGCTTTTTGACAAACAATGACATGGACCGACTCACCTACAATTGCGGAGACATTTCTTCGGTTACCTTTTTTCTTTATCTCAACTGGCTTTTGTGGGTCTCCCCTCGACGACAGACGACGCATTTGCAAATGAATTGCTTATTGACAGTTTGATGGAATGATTCCCTGGCTGCCAATTGTCGATTTGCCAGACTTTTGTTATTCTTTAATTAAACGGTTTGCTCGGAGAAGAAAATAAAAAACAAAATGGACAACTGAAAGGGATTAATTTTGTGCTGAATGAGCTATGATAGATTTTCCAATTGTCGTTTTTATTGCATGCAGCATACTTTTAGTACCTAACAATGAAAATAAACTTAAAATTTAATCATATTCTGATATATGAAATGTCATTAAAAAGCATTTGTCAAGTTGTGAGACCGCCAGAAAGTCACTTCCAGCTGATTGCATTTTGCAGGACACTCGACACTCGAAATGCCATGCGAGATTTCCCCTATCATTGCTACATGCCACTAATTGAAGTCGCCTCCAGCAATTAACAACTTGCCGGGCTGCTCATGTATGCAAAATCCATTAAATCACTTAAAAAGCAGGAGAAGAGCACATTTGAAACCACTTCCATGGCAAATGACACATAATATGACTACAAAACATTTGCCGCGAAGGATGTGCAGGAGTCGGGAAATTTTGCAGGACACGCACTCGAAAACCTGGGCCCGCCCTTTTCGATGTCGATGATAATGTAACAACACTCAACCTCTTGGTAAGGATGCAGAAAAAGAATGCTGAAAAAATGGAAAACATAAAAGGTAGTGGGGGTTTTTGAAACAGCAAAAGGGTTGGTCATGACTTAAAAAACCGGAGAGGGGTCGAAATGAAATTGTCACAGGCACAAATTTAATTACATCATCTGGTGAAGAGGCATCAGATGTGTGTTCCAGAGCTTAAAGCTGTCCATAAATTCAGGTGACTCCCCAAAATGTCATCCCTTTCGTAAAATAACTCCCCCGTGTATGTAACCGCTCATCAACTGTCAAAATGGAAATTCCAAAAAATGTCACAAAATTTGACATGTACAGAAAAGAACTCCCGATAATTCATACATACGTATGCATGATGAAACATGTCAAGCATGAAAAACTGATAAGATAGAAATAGGTTTTGGATAGGATGGAGCGGAAAAGTTCTAAAAAATCATCAAATTCATGTGGCATACTTTTAGGCCGAACAAAACTCAACCCTCCGAAAACCTTCATTTACAAATTACAAATACACCTGGTTCCCATCAAAGCAGCCCTTTTTCAATTAGCCTAAAACCCACTAACTAAAAGTGATGAAAAAAATGAACTGTTTAATGCCTTTTATCCCACTCATAATTCGCATAATGACAGACCATCTCGTCTCATTTCCCATGCCATTTTCTGATCATTTGGCCGGCCGACTTTCGGTGGCAGGGCAAACAACAGACGCAGCTGACCACTCCCGGATGCACTTCAACTTTCCACCCTGTTGCGTACAATCAATGGCCAGGACACCGCAAAACCCGGATGGATCTGGATCTGAATCTCTCTCCCCCGCCGTTGTCGCGTTCGGATTGTTGCAAAAGTGCGAAACCGCAAATGTTAAACGCAACACACAAGTCAATTCCACAAACCACCCAAAAAGCCAAAACCCACGGTGACAACCGCAACCAGGCCACAAAGCTCTTCAATTTGCTTGCCATCTATTATGGTAGCTCATTGTGGGATTACCGCAGAACCCAAACCCAAAACCCT